TCACGCATCCAAATTTCATGAGGCCGACATTCTCGGAAGAGGTGACAACCGAGTGAGCCGAGAATTACTTGAGTCATGGTTCACGGGCCCTAAATCCATGAAAAAGCACGACGATTTGCCCAACCCATATTCGGTGCTGAGACTTAATTTGGCCAAAGCAAATCTTCGCTCGGGGAACAGACAGGCCAACACATCATCCTATGCCAACACCGCAGGGCCAGATGGTCACTGCTGACGCAACGAATCAGCGCACACTCAAGGCGTTTATCGATTTTTTCTGTACGTTTAAATTTTACGGCAAAACCCTGTTCACATACAAACTGTTTCTGCTACTTTTCTGTGAGTATGTCTCCGATGATGAATCCGCGACGGATTTCGAAACGTCAGACGAATAAACATATTGTCCCAGCGATTGAGTCGTCGTCTACTTCTCAATTACTTTCTGGGACTCGCATGTTCGCTTGTATTGGCAAAAAAGTGTCACCCTCCCTTACGCTTAATCGGACATTTGCCTTTCTGTGAGGCGCTATCGCTGCCGTCCCGAGGTGGAGATAGCTGACCAGCAAGTGGCCGATGGTCTAGTGACTATTTGTACTCAAAAATGGTTAAAAGCCACATTCGAGCCTTTTAAGGGGATAGCACTCACGCTTTCTAGTATTACTGGGGGGCAAAACGAATGGCATGCCCCGTTCTTTTATTTTTGCCCCACGTCTTATAAGCATCCTGCGACCAAATATCTCCGCGCCGGATTATTTGCTCATTCTCTACGCGTTGGTGTGGTTGGCCATTGGGAGAGATAGAATGATCTTATGATAAATACTACTGAGGAGTAGACAGTAGCCATTATTTATGTGTTCAAATAATAATGTACAAGAGTCTGTGTACAGTAGGAGAGATAAGGGGCGGGGGGAGAGCAGGACCTATCAGGACTTCATCGAGCCCACCACCTTTGGAGCCCGCCGCCGACGCATAAAGTTCAGAAACTCCGAAGCATCCTTGTAGTTGCGGTGCATTTGACTGACACCGAAGGCGGGGTTCAGGAGGAAGTCGTCGAATCGGTCGTCTTCCTCGCCATCCTCAGTTGCGACCCACTGCAAGGAAAGATGAGGGAAATCATGAGAGGAGGCCATAAAGACCTCGGCATTTGGATACAGAGCAATCTGAAGGCATCGTTACAACGTGT